CACAAAAACAAAAGCGACCCAACCACTTATTGTAATAATTAAGTTCAAAACGAATTGGCACTGTTTCTTACATCCACATTCCACAGAGAAACTCCACATTGAATGGTAGTGGAGTGCCTGCTAAGAAGAAATAAAATTTACTTTTACATCAAACAAGCCTCAAACAAAAAGCTGAAACCTTGTGCCATTGCTTGGAGTGGAATGAAAGCAAATTTATTCCAATTCTCCACCTACAGCTAAATATTCTTCATCAAGTTCACATCAACCTTTCCTCAAATTAAATGGTTTATTTTTTTCAACCTTCATTTTGATTGCCTTTGCCCATCTTTCCATCTCACCAAACTTTGACAAAACCTTCTCACCAAAGTGTACAACAAGGGAAAATGTATCATTCCTTCCCTCATATGTGCAAAAAGTGCCAAAAACCCCAAAAACACAATGAAAGAATAATTTTAATTCCATGCCTGTTGTGCAACTTTTTCCAGTTTCTACTTCAAGTTTTACAGTACAATAGATAATATATGNATTTTTTTTTTTTTTTTTTTCATATAGTTATCAGATAGTTTTCCGAATTCTCAACATGGCATCAAAATCGGATTTTGCACAGAAGCTGCTCCACGATCTTCGTGCGCGCAAGGAAAAGATGGCTGCTGCTCAAAGTTCGAGTCGGCAGTCCACACATACATCAAGAGGTAAACATTAAATGCTAGCAAGAAAAAATAAACAAATGTTATCCAATTCTTATTTCAATATTCGTTCAGTAGCTAGACATAGGTAGAGCAAAAACCTTCATAACAAAATCTGAGAAATACTCTGAGGGCCCGAAATTACTCAAAGATGGAGCTCCCTATCCCCACTATCTATGGAAATTTCCAAACTTCTCAGGCCAATCGACGATAATATAGACATAAAATATAATTAATAATAATTTAAAATAAAAAAAAATAAAACATAAAATGAGGTTTTTTATTATAATGAGTTACAAAAAGAGGTTGTTACTGATTGGGAAGATTTTACAATTTCAACTGAGATTCTATGCATTCATGAATATATTAGTACATGATAAAAAAAAAAATTAAAAAAAAAAATTAATCATTCTGTCACATTTTGTGCTCAACTTGAAGTGTGATGCCCAATATGGCTGTAAAAAATATATATATACACATTATGAAAAAATGTAATCAAATTCTCTCTTATGGCTAGCAATTTTATCTGTTAATACTAAATAATTCCCCTTCACCATCTCACATATCTCTGAAACAACAGCTGCACATGGAAACACCAGGCCGAATTCCAAAGGCTCTCGACATATAAACACACTAGAATCGGTAAGTTTTAATATTTTACTTTATTTACATTATTTTCCCAAAATTCATACATTAAATAATTTCACGAACCTGATCCGCAAACCACATTCTCCGCGCCTTAACGCAGGCAAGCTCTAGAACAGGTAGTGGAAGATCGAACAATAAAACCCACACTTCAATAATCACAAATGAAAACTCCAGCCAAATTATTCTCTACAAAAGCGGCCAAAAAGCCTCCGGACAAAAAGTCAAAGACCTATCCATGGCCATAGCCCTCGCCTTTGAAAATGGCGGCAACCTAACCAGCATCCGAGCCTCCGCCACAAACCCGCTCGTAAATTTCTTCAACCGATTTAGTCGAAAATCGCGGGACACTCACAAGATGGACTTGACAACATTCGGCAACAAAAATCATTCTCAGATTCCTAAAATCTCCAACATACAAGTAAGTGAAGTGTCGAAAGGCGTTCAGAGGCTGAATCAAATTTTACGAGCCTGCTCAAACGGGTTTAGCCTTGAGGGGGGCTCGATTGAGGTCGGGAAAGAATTAATGAAAGGTGCAATGGATTTAGAAGAGTCGTTAAGAATGCTCGTCAATTTACAGGAGGCCTCACAACATGCAGAGAATACTCGGAACAAAGGCCGGATTAAGCTACTCGACGAGGATGAAGATGATAATAATTCTAAAATAGCCGAGAAATGGGAATTGGATCGGCCGAAATTCTCGTTCGATAGGCCGAGAAGGAGGCAGATGGATTTATTGGGATTTGACGAGACTTCAGAAGCATCAAGTAGGGATTTGGGTGTTTTTACGCAAGTGAAACAAACTCGGAGCTCGAGTTCATCACAGCCGACACAAGAGAAGAAGAGAATATCGAATGTCGTGGCTAAATTAATGGGGCTTGAAGAGACTCCGCTTAATGAGGATTTCATGCACAAGAAAAGTGATGCTAAGGGGAAACAAGGACAAATCCCGAAACAAACAATTAACAAGTCGTTTGAGCCTTTGAATAGAGAGAGTAATAATAATACAACAAAAGGCCATAGCACTGCAACAACTCAAGTTAACGGGAGTCGTCAAATTTTTGGAGATAATCAGAGGAAACAAAATTCCGGAATTGACAGACAAAGCAAAACCATCAAGAGTGAAAGCAAGATGCAAACTTTAAACTCCGAGCTGCAGCAAAAGGCACAGAACAGGAGAACCAAAAAAGCAGAACACAAAGCAATTGACGATATTGAGTACAACCCAGGTGCAAGCTCAACAGAAATGAGGAAAGCAAATGAAGAACTCCCGAGCAATCAACCAAAGCATGAAGAAAAACGTAGACAGATTCAAGAGCAGGTGCTTACAAGAGGTGAACGTTCACAGGACAAGCTACAGAAGGTGCAAAATGGCCAAGTATCCATGATAACCTCAAAATCCAAGAAAATTACGGCCGTAAATTCACAGAGGCTTTCGCATGATAAGTCGGTAGCTGGCAACAAAAGATCCACAAAAGCTATTGCAAAACCTCCACCTAAGGACCCACCAAAGAGAACAGATCAAGATGATGTCCCCATGATTGATATCTCTCAACAGACTGTGACAAATAAGGAAAATATCAAGAAAGAAGATGGAAGTCATAAGTCGTTTACAAGAGAACCAGAAACAGATGTGGAAAACGAAAATAGAAATCCGGAACCCATGAAGGGGAAGGCATTTGAGGTCTCGACCAAACATAAGGCAGTGATTCCCAAGAAAGTTCAAAAAAGTGAGATTCCACAAAAGATAGATGTACTGATGTCTAGAAGACAAGCAAATGTGAATCACTTAACAAGATCAACGAAGCAGCCAGCAAAGCTGCTGAAGGATTTGAAGCAACAGATGCATAACAAACACCGGAACAGTAAAAGAATAGAAGAACAAAGTAATAGTGAGATGCAGAATGAAAAAGAAGAAATGAATGTGTACAGTGCATCAGAAAACACTAACATCGAACCAGAGAAGCAACGGGACAAGTTAGAAAAGGAAGAAGCCAAGAGTGTCGTGCTAAACATTTCAGTGGAGGATGAAAAACAAATAGCCAATGTGCAGACTACCCAGGTACTTAACAACAGCATAAGTTCTGGAAAAATAAAAATAAAAATTAAAGAGTTGAAATTACAGTTCAATTGCGCCAAAATGCTTATCACAGTTGGCCTTTTTTCAGTGTGATGACCAAACCATAAAAGCTGGAGAAGTTTCCAATGAACTCGAGACAGTGGAAGAGCCATATGCTCTTGAAGATGAACAAGAGCTCAAACAAAGTGATCAAATCACAAGTAAATATTATTATCCACTTTCAGTTTCTATTAACAACCTGTAGCTTATTATGAATTTATACTTTCTAAGCCTTAATTTCACCCACACCCCACATTTCCGTATCTTTCAAACTAAAAAGGCCTAGCATTTTTTAGCTTCGTCAAGCTGAAGAAACACGATGGAATTTTTCAAATCCACATTTTCATTTCCTGTCCTGATTACAAATCCTAATCCTTCATGTCAACTTTCCATCTAACAACTCCAAACCGTCTCTTTACTTGGATCTGGATTCATTATTACGAATCTAATATTCCATATTGCAGGAGACAACAAGGGAGAAAGCATAGAAGAACTGCACAATCTTCCTCAAAACGAGGACAAGCAAACGCCCATACCTGACAGACGAGAGCAACTCACAGAACCCGAAAAACATCTCAAGGAGATGGCGATTAAAAGCCAGATGTTCCTCAGCACAGCAGAAGCGCTTTTCAAGCTCAACCTGCCCGCCAGCTTCCTCCACGCGGCAGAACAAGATTATGAAGCCCCAGAAAACAAGCTCGTCCTGAACTGCGCGCAGGAAGTGATGAAGAGGAAAGCGAGGGGACACGGAGTCGCAAACCACCCCCACATGAAACCAGCCTCGGCCGGTCCCAAGGTGCGATCTTTCGACGATTTGATCAAGCAGCTGAGCAAGGACTTGGAAACCCTGAAGCTGTACGGCGGGAATCTCGGCGACGAGCGTGATTTAGCGGCGAGACTGTACAGAATGCTGGAGAAGGACATCGGCGGCGGGGGCGCGGATGTGAACTGTATGTGGGACCTCGAATGGAGCAATCTCATGGCGTTGGTAACTGAGAAGGACGATGTTGTGAAGGAGGTCGAGAGGTATATGCTCAATGGTTTGCTTGATGAGATCACCGGCGATTTGGTGGCTCTGACAGTGTCGGGTTGAGCGGATTGGGTGCCCATTTGGGGTTTTTACTGCAAATTGGGTTTTATAGCTTTCAATCTACGGAAGCTTAACAAAAAAATAAAACATAAATATCCTTTTGATGCATTGTGAGTGAATAAGGACACAAAGCAAGGTTTTTTTTTGCGAGTATCTTCTTGGTAGAGTGTGAATCCAGTTTTTTTCTTTGTACTGTGTTGTTTTTGCTGCTACTGGAGAGAATGGCGTGTCATACATAACTTTTTGTGATATTTTATACTTTATATTATAGGTTAAATTGCAAAATAAATTACCATATTTATTTTATTTGCAATTTGACCTTATTTTTTTATTTCGTTTATTAAATGCAGAACTTTCCAAATTTTACAAACTAGGAGTACTCAATATGTGTAAATCACGTATGTAAATAAAATATTAGTATATTACAAATCATATATATGTATATTTTATTTGTAATCGTTAGTCAGATAATGTATATGTCACTTTTTATAAATTTAATTATTAGTAAAAATAAATAATATAATTATAAAATAATTACTTATATATGAAACATATATTAATTGCACAAATTCAACTTATAATGTAAATTTTACTTATTTTCGACCGGATTTTGTCTACCGTCGATTTCACTTCGCTTCGCCTCGTTTGTATGGTCGTAGATAAATTTAAGAAATCGTGACCAATAATTATTGCAAATATTTAAAATTATTATTATAACAACTATTTACACAATTTTAAGAAGTTTTTTACGCCATTAAAATTAAATTAGATATTTAAAAAAATCATTATTGAGATAAAACAAAAGAAAAAAAATAAAAATAAAGACTTTGAATAAAAAAAATTGGTATAGAGTTTTTTATAAATGTATAACTTGCATAAATCTTTTAGTGCGAATTTATAATTTTTAATATTATTAGTAATTATTAAATATTATAAAAATTATTACACTTAATTGTTGTAAAAGATAACGGTTAGTTTTAATTAATTTGCCTATATTAAAATATGGACTCGAAAATTAGACTGAAAAGATTCAGTTTACAATGCCCAACAGCAGACTGTACTCGTATGGTCATCTAAATACATATACATCGGTAACAAAAATTTTGTTGTCGTTTAGTGGTAGGATAGCTGGGTTCAATTCTCGACATCGGAATCTAATTTTTTTCTATCCTTTGTCTTTGTGAGTAGTGACTCATGACACATCATTCCTATTTTCTTTGTTACCAGCCATATAAGTGCTACAAATGAACCGAACGTTCGCGAACGAAAGTTCGTTCGTGTTTGTTTAGAGGTCGTTCGATTAACAATTGAGCTGAGTTCGAACATGTAATTCAGCTCGTTTATTATTCGAACGAACATGAACATGTTCGCGAACATAAATAACCGTTCGCGAACAGAACCATTATAATAATATTATATATATAATTACATTAAAAAAATTGTCTTGAAATTGGATAGTGGACCACTAATTCTCGTCAAGAAGGCAAGATCGGGATTCAAAGTTCAAACCAAAATCAGAGATTTAGAAATCAAAACCTTAATCCCTCTCCGCCTCTTCTCGTCTCCAGACTCCAACTCGCCATCGCCATCGGCCATCGCCCTTCTGTCACCCACCCTGCCGAGTCGCCGTCTCTCACCTCCCGTCCTCTGATTGTTTCCCGACGATATATAACCCTCAGCCCCTCACTCCAATCACACTCTCGCGTTCAATTTCATCGCCGCTCCTCAAAATTCTCTCTCGTCTTCATTCTTCAATTTTATCGCCATCGTCCAACCTCAAGCATCGTTCTCACTCGAATTCTTGCACAACCCTCAGTTCACGACGACATGTCCAACCTCATCTCCAGGCTTCCAGTCCAGACTCGAATTCTCGCACATCCAGAGGCCGCTTGAGGACCACGCATCCCACCATTATTTGTAAGTTTAATTTGGGCTTACTTTTTGGATATTCTTGTTCTGGTTAATTGTTTCTTGAAACTGAAATTCTCTCAAAAAGTGTGTTCATATTTTGTAAACTTTTTTTTTGGCATGTGAATCATTGAATTATCTTACCTGTGGACTGTGCGTGGACTGTGAGCTGGGACTGAGGCTGAATTGAATTTTTGCAATTTGGTCCATTGTTTGCTGGTTATTTTTTTTTTTTCTTTTGTAATTTTTTGAAGTCTTGATAATCGAACAATTCGAGCTAATCGAACATTTGAAAAGTTCAAATAATTTCGTTTAACTAAACGAGCCGAACACGAACGAACATGAACTGTACGAACAAATAAACGAACGAAAACGAACATAAATCTAGGCTCGATTAGTAAACGAATGAACTCGAATAAGCTCGAACTACCTAAACTCGGCTCGGTTCGGTTCATTTACAGCATTACATATAAAGATTGGGGGCTAATATCCATTTTTTTATGTCTTGACACATCATTTCTATCAAATTAATCATGTCTTGATGAACTTTGATTTGACATTTATGTTATACATATAAAATAATTAAGTAGTTTTATTTATATTTATAATTAAAATTAAATTATCTATTTAATTCGAAAAAATATTATTTAAACTAACTTAACTACAAAGTATCTGACACGAATTAGAAAAATATATAATATAAGATAGTAAGTGTGTAAGTGACGGTGCAAATTTAAATATAAATAATAATATTTTTTTCAAAAAAGTATTTAAAAACTAAAGCAGCTTTTGTTGTTATTATTATTTTATTTGAAATATAATTTTTTTAACAAGTAATCGTGTAGTACACAGGTGTTGTACTATTATAAAATAAAACTTAAAAAAAGAGTACATTTGGATAATCAAGAGACTACAATACAAAGTCGGTCCTTTACACACAAATACTAGGACCCCTTCACATGGGAAAGTAAAACACTTAGGGGTTGATTGGATATAAATTAACCGAAAAAAAAAATAAAAAAATGAATCACAACTCAAAATCTAATTCAACTTTAATTCAACCTCAATATTATCAGTATAATTAAAAAATATCAATCGATTTTATCTTGCGCATCACATCAACTCTAATTTACAACTCACATAATTTTAACTAATCATCATTTTTAATCATTGTTTCTCTACTTTTACTTCAAATTAATTTAGATTATTTTATTTAAAATATTATTTTAATACAAACTCAAAATTCTACTAAAAGTATTTTTTTTTTTTTGCCGAAACGATAGATGTATTATATAAAAGTGCACAAATGTGCAAAAGTACAACCACCAGCTAAATACAACCAACCAACAGCTGAATATAGACAACCAACAGCTGAAAAAACTGGGAGGACAGGTCAAAAGACCGCCTAGAACCGACCCCAATCGGGTAATACTCTAGAAACACAAAAACACATTGACACTAAAAGTTCCCAAAGGGAGAAGACAAAGAAAAGAAAAGACACGACCCCTACAGGGTAATGCCCGAGTGTATGACCTCAACAGGATAATAGAGTCACACTCGGGCTAACCGAGGCCAAAGACCCAAACTTAAAACACAAAAGCAGACACATACCTAAATAACACAAATGAACACACACCTAAACAAAACAGCTACTCACTAAACATGCCCTTCTTCAGCAGAGACGTCTGAGAGTGGACAGCAGACAAAACCGGCGTCGAGGAAAGATCCTAAGCACTGGAATGCCGCCCGCCACTGTCTAATGCCTAGCAAAGACGAAGACCGAAGCCTCAAATCAGTCCAAAAAACCCGACCCGCTCTCCAACCACAAGAAACCACAATTGGCCCCAACTGGCTAACACCACTAGCCAAATCCAGCACCATCCCGGAACTGCCTATCACTATTAGCCAATTCCGGACACAGTCGGCCTTCCTCAGGCTCAAAAAGAGCAAAAGGGAGGAAGGGTTCGAATGGCATCAAGGCCCAGCCACTCCCACAAAACCCAAATAAGTGGCAGTCTCCCAACCCACCGTACAAGATCGAGCTCCGCCTCAACCACCCCATCATGCCAAAGACGAGACAGCTCCGACAATAGCAGGAAAAATGAGACAGAGAGGACCTCAAAGCCCGGCAAGAAAGAGACTCCCCTACCTGAGGTGAGACGAGCAACCAATCCACATCCAAGGGCTGACGACGCACCCCACCGAACCCCAACACCGCAGGACGCCGACGGCCATCGCTCAGAGCAGAGAAATAGTTGAAACCCTAGCTCGCCCCTTTGGCTTGAGACACAGGACAGGAGCATCGTGGCCCGAATTCTGATGCCCAGCGGGAGAGCCGTCCACCGGCGACCCCGAACCACCGCTAAAGGAGACTCAAACCGACGAGAACTGAGGGCAACCAGAATTAATCGAAAAGGGGAAAAATGGCGAGAGAAAACGGGCTTCCTTTTTCTTTCACTTTATTTAAAATTCTACTAAAAGTAACTAAACAATTTTTTTACAATTAACTCTGGTTAGCCAAATAAATTAACCCAAGGCTAAATTTTTATCCAAGCATCCCCTTAATCCATCTCAACAGTAACTTTTGCTAAAAAAAACACAAGGTTTACAAGTTACACGATCAAACACAAAGTTACATAGACTAAGGGAATTAGCGGATACATAAATGTCTTCAGAAAAAATACTATAGTTGTTGAAGGAAGAATGATTAAACTCACCAAAAAAAAAGTACAACTGGATAGTCATGTGACTACAATATGAGGTCGGTCCTTTACACACAAATGTGATGACACACCTTCACCTAGGAAGTAAAACACACTTTCCCTCAACAGTCACTTTGGCTAAAGAAACATAAGGTTTACAAGATATATGATTAAACACAAAGTTACACAAACTAAAAGGAATTAGCACATACATAAATGTCTAGTCAGAAAGAATACTATAGTTGTTGAAGGAAGAATCATTATTCAGCTGTTGGTCGAAGCTCTATCCTCTGCACAGCAACATAGAAAAGAAATATTAAGTTGCATTAGTTCTCAATATTCATCAGGGGCCGATGTAAATATATGGCCGGGGGCATGGTCACCCCCATTTTTTCTTTTTTTTTTTTTTTTTTACGCGCATTCAATACTTTCATGCAAATCAACTCGGTTACACAAAAACCAACTTCCTGTACCCACGATTATACATCAATAATATAATAGTTTTTACGTTTTTTTTTTTTTAATTACGTGTTTTTATTGTTGTTAAATTTCATACAACAACAATGGTGACTAGAGTTACTAATGCCGTATATCCTATCTCGGAAATGTTCTCCTACCCACAGTAGGCACATGTTAATATGTCCACCGCTTATGTGGCATGCACACATTGGTGATGTATTTTCTTTAATATATTAACATCATCAATGTGTGCATGCCACATAAGCGGTGGGTATATTAACATGTGCCCACCGTGGGTAGGGGAGCATTTTCCTATCCTATTAATGATAAAGGTAGAAGTTTCAATGATAAACTCTACATACGATCTTTGCCGAATGCGGAAAACAAAATAGTTTTGGAACTTGATTATAGTGATGACTTGATCGAAAATTTTTGCACAAAAGAGCACGAGAAGGTTGTAAGCTTTTGTTATTTTCGTTTACTTTTGTTTCTCATATTCATTGTATATTCGTATTTATTATTGATAATGTTTAATATTATTTGTTCAATTAAAAATTTAAAATATAGAAGTACAATTACGGGCCACGGTAAAAATTTGTCTGGGGCCTCCAAATTTCTGGAGACAGCCCTACCTATAGCATAAATTGCTACATTTTGAATTTTATATTGTATAGATAAATAACGTTGTGTATTGCATAAACTATTTAAAAATAAAAAATTTATTTTTAATATTAAATATATATCCATATAAAAAAGATAGACATATTGAACAATAATACTCATAACATAATTTAGTTTAAGCTACCAAAATACAACAGTAATGTAATTTAATATATTTAGTTAGAAATTATAATTATTTTTATTTTCGGTTGTTGTTTGAAATATTACCTTAATTCAATGCGATTTTTTTTAAAAATTGATGATTAGTATAAAAATTGCAAATAGCGAAAAAAAAACAGTCACTTCAAATTTATGACTTTTGGGATATGAAAAATGCAAAATAGTGTAAAATATAAGCATGCCATTACTCGCTAGCCATGCTATATGATCGTATTGTTATATTAGTATCATCGACATTCTGCTAAAATATTATTAACCATTTTCTCTTAAACAATCTCACTGTTGTTGTTATTAAAGTGAACTAGTCTGAGTCTCATTCTTATACACGTAATGCACTTGTGATGTGATGGTTACGATATCCATGACTACATAATCCATTTGAAACCAACAATATTGCGTTATCTATGAGTCCATAATCCATTTGAAACCAACAATAGTTACAATATAAATGTGACAGTGGGCTTCATTTATATGTTTCTATACAACGGATTACAACGATTCCGTTGTCGTCCAGTGGTTAGGATATCTGGCTTTCACCCAGGAGACCCGGGTTCAATTCCCGGCAACGGAAGCATTTTTTGACCTTTTTCCCCAACTTCATCTCTTTTTGTGACACATTATCGTTCATTTAATAGTCATAACAAAAATATTTGTTGGGGGTTTTCATTCACAAAAGAAAAGTCAAAATTCGTGTACCTTTTTTGCAGTCTAATCTCACAGACAAACTTTAAAAATACATTACATATATTTTGGCATTACATACATGGCATAAAATTATTTAAATGTTACAAAAAAAAACTGGTTGAGGAACTTGTTTCCAAAAACTTCAAAAATTAAGTCCAACATGAAAACAATAAGTCCAACATGACATACCTCTTCATAAATTACGGAAAGAAAAAATGATTGATATGTACAATTAAAGCATGGATATATTTTGTAAGGTAATGACATGTTTGTTATTAAGAAGAAGCAAAACCAAAATTATACAAGTAACTGAAGTACTTAACTGGTCAAGGTCATAACATACACACAATTGTGATGATCTAACTAGAAAATTTTCAATATCTTGTATACTCATCAATTTAAGGACATTGAAAAAGCAATTTATTATTTAGCACATCAGGACTTTCTTGCTTTCGAACAAGTTTCAATACATTGGAGTAGTCCTTAAATTGAGACAAATAGGTATGCAGGTGACTGATTTGTAAAAAAATTAAATTTTGACAAAACCATCTGACCAATTATCCTTACTTAATTTGATAATCCTTAAATTCGATTGACATAGTAATACGATTCCAAATATGCTTCTGAAATTCATGGTACATATTGGTGTAGAAAAAAATTTCCAGGTCACATGTGTACTGTAGCTTAACATAAAAGTCCTCATTCAACTATTAATTGCAGATACCTACACAGTATATGACCTAAACAGTAAACCCAGCCAATAAAACCATTAAAAACAAATTTAACACCAACATACTCAACCAATGATTAAATAAAACTAAATACTCAATAAGTAGACAAAATTCCAAAAAACAACATTGAAGCTCAATAAGACATTACAAACCAAATCAGACCAAACCATTTAGGATCAAACACCGGTAGATCCAAATCCAGCAGACCCTCTTTCGGTAGAATCAAGATCATCGATCTCACTAACCTCAGGAGTCTCGATTTTCTGAATAATCAACTGTGCAATTCTATCTCCAGGCTTCACTTCAAAATCAACATCCGAATGATTGAACAAAACCACACCAACTGGGCCCCGGTAATCGGCATCAATTACACCTGCCCCTACATCTATCGAGTGCTTCCAGGCCAACCCAGAACGTGGAGCTGCACAAATTCAAGATTTTTAGCTCAAAAATCATTTATGCAGACAAGAACTGAACCATATAGACCAAGAGGTTGGACTGTAATAAGAACACTAAATTTAATTATCCTCAAGGGAAACTGGCAATCTAGGCTTGCAAAAATCACAATTGACAAAAAAGTATATTTACAAGAAACTGTCATATACACCAATTCTATGCCAGAAATCTAGAGACGTTGATTATTGAACCTAAATGTTCAGGCTATCAAATGACTAAACTCAAGATTTAACAAAATTAAGGAGGTTTTCGAGCTTCTGGCCAACATAATTTCTCCTTTACTTGCAAACTGAAAACTGTAATTTTCCCATCAGGAAAAAAGACAAGGTAAACAAAATCCAGAGAAAATTAAAAAAAGTTGAAATCTTTACCAACACGAGCGTATGTTCCTTGAGGAACAGCAATGCTGAGATCCGTCGGTATCAGCGCTTGGCCTCTGGCTGGGACTTTCGTCTCCGTTGCGCTGTAAAATCACAAATACAATTCCAGATAAATAGAAAAAAGAAAAAGAAAAAAAAAAAAGATTGTTCCATGTGTTTCGGGATTCAAACACACACCTCGATAGATCGTAGCCAGCAGAAAGAGGGGAAGCCCTTGAAGGCAAAACTGCCTTCTCAGACAGCTTTTTCACCCTTAAAAATGGAACTTCTTCTTGAGATCTGCACTCGTAAACGCCACCGTTTTCGTGAATCTTTTGAATTTTCAGGAGCGGCCCCTCAGACTCGGGGACGCCGTTAGGGTTTCCAGACGCCTGAGCCATATTGATTGCGAGAGAAGAGGTTCTGCAGTGTGATCTTCTGCTCAATTTGCAGTGTGCGTGAGGGTTCAGGAGAATGTGGGTGTTAAATTGACGAAATATTGTATTGTGTAGAGGTCGGGTAATGGAGAAAAATGGCGCCATTAGTTCCCGCTAATTTTTCTTGGCCGTGGCTTTGTACTTCGGATTTGGGTGTGTATACTTTATTGCAATAACTACTATTCCAATTGACGTATTCGAGAATATAGCTCGTTTATTGCAATAACTACTTATTGCAATAATTTTATTTTATTTTTTTTTGTTGGAACGATGGAGTTTATAAATAAAAAAATGCTACAAGAACATAATAAATACATATAGAGATGTACATAATACTCATATGGAGTGAGGTTCACTTGATTTTTATTTTTTGTGAGTGTTATGTACACCCCAATGTACAATATTATGTACCTATAACATTTCCCTTATAAGTAATACCACATAATTACAAACTACAAAACAACTAATCAATCGAGGAACACTTGGAGATGGGAGACACCTGCACAAAAAGAGGAGACGACAGCGTGTCGGAAAAAGCGTAACTTGTCTGTCGACGTCGCGAAGGTGCGGAAAACCCACTAGTTAGGAAGCGTTGCAAAGGAGCGAAACCAAGCGTTTGAGTCTTTGATTTGGGGATTTGGCTTAAGAAGAGATAAAAAAATATAGGGGTTGTATTTCTTTTCGCTTCGGCTCATAAATATTTTAACTCGGCTAGCTTTTCAAATTAATAGGTCGAGTTCGAACAACTAATCGAGTTTCTATGTTAGACAAGTCAAATCGAGTTCATTCGCAAATAATTTGTTTTTTTTTTCTGTTTATCTCTTTCAAACGAACCATTGAAATAAACATGTTCACGAAGCACAAATCACATTGCGAACAATTCATTTACGATTTTGAGTTTTTTAAACAATCGAGTTGGCTCATTTAGCCTGAGCTAAAGTGCTCGACTCAACTAGACTAATATAATTTTTTTTTTTTTTTTTNAATTTTTTTTTTTTTTTTTGTACATATAACTTTTCTATTATTCGATCGTGAATAAGGATACATTTGAATAAATATCTGAATTTATTATAAGGATTGAGCATTAGGTTTGGATAATTCTGAATTGTTGCGATAACTTAATCAAAATCACCTTGAACCGAAAAATAACTATTAACAGTTTCACTTTCTCTTAACCAATAAAATGATCAGTAAGGTTATGGCTATTTTACAAAAATTCGTACCAAGGATCGAAGCGAAGTAAAACAATCAATAGTTATGTCAACTTTAATTCTANTTTTTTTTTTTTCGAAACGATAGAAATTTTATATAAAAACGCACAAATGTGCAAAGGTACAGCCACAAGCTGAATATAGACAGCCAACAACTGAATACAAGCAACCAACAGCAGAAAAGACTGGGAGGACAGGACCAAAACCCGCCTAGAACCAACTCCAAAGGGGAAATACTCAGGACACTCGAACTAAACACAACGACCCTAAAAACTCCCAAGGGGAAAATAAAAACAAATACAATAACAAAATAACAAAATAACAACGACCCCAACAGGGTAATAAAATCAAACTAATAGTTGATCATGTGCATATGCATATATACAAATAAAATTACATAACTTATTTTGTTTGTGTATATAATATTTAAAATTACAAATAAAATTACATAACTTATTTTGTTTGTGTATATAATATTTAAAATTAAGTTAGATAATAAGCATATTTATTTTAAAAAATTTTTGATAATAAAACGATTGATATTAATATAAACTATTTAACTTACCTATAAATCAATATTGATTCAAAAAATGTAATTTTGGAATTTTTTAGTTCTGCCAAAAAAAAAGGAAATTTTAAGTAGTTTAGTTACGACATAAAAAGAAATTAAATAATTTTAATAAAAAACTGCTTAATGATTTGAAAAAAATAAAGATAATAATTATTTAAATAAAAAGTTTGAAAAACGAAAGAAATTTTTATATGTGTATAAATTTCATGTATCATTTAGTGTGACTTTATAATTAGTTTGTATCAATTATTATGTAATAAAATAAATAAATAAATAATGTAATTACTTGATTAATGCAAAATATAACAATTTCGTTCTAAAAATAGCTGAAAAAATGACTAACTTTTTTTCTTGCATTAAATTTTTCCCTACTATTATCATTATTACTACTACTATTTGTGGCTATAAATTTTATTTAAATGAATATTTTTTTAAAAAAAAATTGAATGAGTTCTTGTGCAACAATAAATTGTATGTTATATGAATGAATGTTTTTTATTATACCCACACATATTGACCGGGTAATTTGGTCAATCTATTTAAAATATACATAGAGTACAGGTAGAATTATTAAGTGATCGGTTACAACCATAACAATTAATTTCAACACTAATATATTTATATATTTATTACAAAAATAAGCTACTACATATAAAAAATAAAAAAAAGTGCATTGAAAATTTTTGCATTGATGTGATAACCCCTAATTATATATATAATACTTAATCATACTTGACCTACAACTAACAATTTTTATGTTGTTTAAAAAGTTATTTATATTTTTGTGATAGTTTTTGTAGCATTTCATAATTAAAATGGTATGAAAAATTAGAGAAATAATTTAAAAAAATACATCAAAATAATCCAGATCCACTGTTGACCGAATGAAGATTGAATTTCAAATAAAGATAGCCCAAACGCACCATACAAACACACATACAAACACACATACTGAATGTTTGTCCAACAATAAAAACACTACTTAGAAAGCTGCCTTTACCAATTTTTAATTACCAAACAATAAAAACACTACTTAGGAAGCTGCCTTGACCAATTTTGAATTACCAATCAATAAAAACACTACTTAGGAAGCTGCCTTTACCAATTTTTAATACCATCTGATCACAAAACACACATCAAAAATTTCCTTATAAAAGTGTTTCAAAAGATTACAACTCCCTCAAATATAAAGAATTCAACAATGTAATATTGATCCAACAATAAAGAAACCAACATTGTAGTTCAGACAAGGCTGAAACATTTATTTTAGGACCAAAATTTTCCTTATAAAAGTGTTTCAAAAGAATACAGCTCCCTCAAATATAAAGAATTCAACAATGTAGTTCAGACAAGGCTGAAACATAATTTATTATTTCTATCATGGGGAGCTGAAAAAATGGAACTCAAGAATACTAAACTCAATACCATCATCTTAGTTGTATATATCCATTGAAGGTCAAGTTATAAAGGGACAAAAGCCAATTGGTCAGATAATTGTAGTCTGGAAGCATTTTTTTGGATAGTCATCTACATGTATCCGAATTGCTATTCATCACCCCAATGGTTTCAAAATTTTAAACAAGTAAATTCAATATAAAAGAGAAAACTATACAAAAATCTCATGAACACATTTAAAACTCAATGAAGATGATTAATTTGAAATTGGACAACTTATAAAGAGGCTCATAAGGATCCATTGGTTTCTATAATCAAAGAGGATAACCCCACTCATAAAATAGGTAGTTTTTTAGCATCACAGCCACCAATTAGAGAATCACACAATAAGATTAGATAAAAATAAAATATTTAATGCTCAGAACTCATATAAACAATGGTTCAGCAATACATAAAACAAAATATTAGTAAAAAACTGCTCTCATATAAATAATGATTTAGCAATACATGTCAACCGCATTAGTAAGATAGTATAGGGATTTAATGTCTAGATATAATAAAGAGGCTCATCATAGCAAAATAACCAATACACACATAAACAAACAAGCACAATAACATAAACAGAACAATATGTATAGATATATATATATACCAATTGTGAAAGATAATTATACTAAACTGCTGAACTTAGCAAAGAAAAACAAAGGCTTAAGAAAATAAACATCTCAGAAACATTCCAAAAGGAGGAACTTTATGCAGACACTCAACACAGCATCAGATTCTGTCCGCCCGTCTGCTTTCTATCATCATTGATTAAGAGAGTATATTAGCAGAATATTGGAAATTTTACAAGAAAAGCTCATGGGTTGAGTGGTTGCAAGTACATTAGCATAAAATTGGAATTTTTGCAACAAAATAGCATAAAGTTTTAATCTTTTCACAAAATTCACTCAAATGACAATCAAAACACAGAAACAATTCACAAAATCTTCAATTAAGTACATGTATTTGGAGCTGCAATGGCATCAGATAATAAGCGGAGTTTATTAGTCATCACAGACAATCAGTGTGTAGGATAAGATTTCAAACTCGTCATTTGCCAAAGCAATTTACTGTCTTGAAAAAATACGAATAAAATGACAATGAAGACACGAGTTATTATAACAAAAGAACGGAGAAATTTTGGAAGGTCCATTTGACACCAATGCAATACAACAGAGTGTGTGCAATGGGCTGGTAAGCCATCCTCAATCAGATCTATGCATCAGTTATAACTCCCAGATAACATTATTCATGAATACACAAGGAGAGGGTAAACCAGATGCAAATATGAATATATAAATACAGGAAAACGCATCCATGAACAATTGCTATTAGAGAGAAATTGAAATCCGAAGAAAAATAAGTTGAGAGGTGAGAAAATGAAATTGTTGAGAAGACGGGAAATAGGGGTGCAATTGTATTTGATCGATTGTTTTGTAATTGAAAGACGGCTATTGGAATTGCTTAAATAGGGGCAAGGGAAGCTAGGGTTTACTTGCAACGCCCGATTTTTGGACAGGTTTGGAAACGTCATGTTTGCAAGTTTTGTATATGTGACATATAATTGGATTTGAGTCTTAAATGATATGGACAAACTCAAGTAAAAAAACTCAAAAACTTTGCAATGCAAAAATAAACATACTAGGTCTAGCATACATGTCAACCAATAAAAATGATATAATATATTTTCTTTATTAAAAGAAAACTTAAATTAAAAATAAATGATGAGTGTTTGAGTTTGTACT